GTGCCATTTGTTCCTTTATGGCATTAAGCTCAGCGGTAAGCATACGGTTCTGCTCCTCTAATTGCTCTATCTTCTTGGCTTTTTGAGCGCGAGTGAGAACAGGTAGAAGACCAGCCACTTTCTAAATGATTTTAACGATTTTTATTATAGCTTTTTATTTCAAATGATTAGTGTGAAATAGATATGCCTTAGACAATAACTTTGGTATTTTCTCAAAAGCCTATGTTTTAAGGGTACCATACCCACCTTGGTGTGATGGTTCTCCCTTTTTTTAAAAAAAAAAGGTTACCATCATACCTTAGTGCACTTATCTCTTCTAGGAAGGTTATAAACGCACCTGGGTCTCTTTCGCTATTATCTAAGGATATCTAAGGATATCTAATGCATCCTAGAATGAGTATGTTTATGCATGCACTACAAAATCATTTTTCTATGACAACAGATATTGAAAGTGGAATAACTTTTGACTGGGTTGTCCGATTTGGACGCACAACATGCCAAAACGAAGAGAAAGAGGTGAAGAACCAAGTTGCAAATACCCGAAGGGGATTTGGGCCCAGTAATTTTCCCAAAAACGCTCTTAAGACCCATTTTTTGGAGGTTTATTAAAATGATGTGTATGCAGGCTGCATTTATTTTCCCTCTTAGTTTTACCACTTATTGGATGATGTGGTATGAATGATACGACTTTGCCAAGAATCTTTTTATTATAAAAGGCATTTTTATGGGTTTTAATCGTTTTTATGTTTTTTATGACCCTTTATCTCTTCTGTTGGTCAACGTGGCTACTTAGCTTACAAAGAACCTGAAACCAGGCTAGCTTAACTGAAGACTGTCCGAGATAAAGTTGGTTTATTCTTATCACTTTTATGATTTTTAGGGTTTTTCACTATTTTGTTTGTTGTATGATTATCCTATGCTAATGCATCAATACAAATGCAGCAAACGAATGCACACACAATTTATTCATCCATGAGCAGAGCCACGCTATTTTCGAGGTGGGGTTTTCCTGCAGAAACGTGCTTGGTTTAGGTGGTTCTAAACTGTTCTCACCAAGGCCAAAGGTCCCCAAGGTGCCCCCATTATAGGGACCTCTCAATCTCTCAGTCCTTGGGTCATGCATGGAACTCCGTGTCGACATCCTTAGACCAAAAGAAGAGAGTTATCACCTTGAGTTGGTGGTTTCCGACAACGGTTGTAGCCCCATGTGCCAACAAGCGGTCGTATCTGTCACCCACTCCCTATAGGTATTCACTCTTGCCCCTGGGTATAGAGGGACTGTAGTGTGCAAGGGTTTTTGTGTGCAATTTATATTTCAGACAATTTGCAGAAAATAATCATACAGCATTTATTAAAGCCATACAATAAAACATACGGAAGAGGGTAAAGGCGTAATTTCAAATCTTCACTTAGTTTGAATTTTATCCGTCACTAAATGAGATCAACTCTCTAGCTTCCCTAGTGGAGTCGCCATCTGTCGTCGCCGTCCGTTCTGACGTCCAGGGACATCTCGAACGTTTATGCGAGCGGTCGCGAAAAGATGGTTTAGACTCGCGTTTTTTGTTAAAATATGTTCATTGCTTCTGAGGTGCTCAACAACTGAACTATCCTCTAATAAAAGCAAGGTTTTCGAAAAGGGGTTCTTATGGAGTCGCCACCAATGTTTTGACCATAAACATTGAAAAAGGATAAAAAGGCGTTGATTTTAATAAAAACCAAACTTGGCCATTATAACCAGAGTTAGGTAAGGGAGTTAGTTACGTGTGGGGAAGGTGTTAGCACCCCACAATGCCCCTTTCGAGTTCCCTATGACGGATTAATTCATTTAAGTGAAGATTACGAGAAATTACGCGATTACCTTATTTTATTGCATAATATTTAAAAATGACTATCTACATGACTTTATTTTATATTGCATACATAAAGCAATAAATAAAGCAGTAAAAGAGAAGAGAAGTGAAAAGAACCTCCGTAGCAAGCTTTATATTACGAATCTTTAACTGTGAGGATGCGTTTTGGCAATTCCCCTGCTCTACAAAGACTCTCCTCCCCGAATACAATATCGACTCTACTAAATTTTACAGAAGAATCGAATGCTGGAATGTAATTCCTTAACTGATTGTTACCTTATTAAGGCAATCAGAGAGTTCATTCGAAGTAGGAAGAGAAGACAAGTACTTGGAGTTGTCTGGTGTGTCAAAAAGTGGCAAATGAGCCTCCTATTTATAGTTTTCGCAGCCTGGCAGCTTGGGACGGCCATCCGGGGCTTGGAAATCAAGGATGAGCGTCTGGAGAGGTTGGGACGGCCGTCTGGGATTTGGGACAGCCGTCCCATTCAAATTTGGGCATTGAGACAGGCGTCCAACATTTGGGACGGGCGTCCCACTTGGCTATGGCAGTTTGGGACGACCGTCCCACCTCTGGGACGGCTGTCTCGACTTGTTTTAGCCAGCTTTTGTGTTCTGGGACCCCCGAGAAGCTTTCCTTTCTTTATTCGGACGTCGATTGATGCCGATAGACATCCATTGAAGCTTTATCTTCATATAGGAAGTCTTCTTGGCCTTTATTGAGATGTCGGGCGAACTTTATCTTGTTATAGGAAGTCTCTTTAGCCTTTATTGAGAGGTCGGGAAAAATTAGGGGTCTACAACAGTAAATGAAGACATTGATAATGTGGATGAAGATCCTAAAGTAGTGGATGGAAAAGCTTCTAAATGTACAGTTGGATGAAACAGAAGCCTAGGAAATGTGTTCATAGTTTAGTGACAAAATTACCATGGGTTAAGTATCATAACACTAGACAAAGTACATGTAGACAAGTTATTTGATGTAGTTATTTTGATGTAAATTTAGAAGTAGTTACCGATGTAACCACTTTGTCATTGGTAAAGTATTATCATGCAAACATTTAGTTGATGTAGGTTTTGTGTGGTTGGAATTTATGTATTTAATGTTCATTTTGGATGTTTAATTACGATGTGATGTTGTGAATTGTATAGGATTTAGTGATTTATGTAGTTGACATATTTTTCACTATGTTGTTGGTTGATATTATTTTACATTTTAATGTTGTCAAAACATTAATAGAAATACATGGTATAATGATGATTGTATCATGAGACTTGTTTCTTGTTGTAGCTTTTGTGTAAAAAGGTTGGTGTAGAAAACTAAGTTCCATATACAAAAGAACTTGTTTTCGTCCAACCCTTGCAAATTCACTAAGTCGTTAATAAAAAGATGAAGAAAACTAGTTCATAAAGGAATGTGCAAGTGGTCAACCCTTAGAAGAAAATTGTTGTTCTAAATGATGTAAGAAACCTGGAGAGAATAAACCAATAATGTTTCTGCTTAGCCTCTACAAGACTGTTGAGCGGTTTAGTTGCAGAGAATAGCTAGTATGAAAGGCTAAGTCGTTTCTTTGTCCTGAAAGCTTCCATATGCTCAGCAAATTCCTATTTCTTGAGCAGTTTTACCCTTCCAGAAGGGTTTGCTCTCTAGCGTCAATCCGCTCAGTGAAATCGGAACCGCTGGGCATTTTTTTCCTTGGAAATGGTCATCTCTATCCGATTTTCACTTAGCGAATGAGAATCCGCTCAACGCTTTAAGTCTAATGTTGCTCTCTCCTAATTATTACATACATTTTGACACATAATTACATAAGTTTGACTATTTACTCTTCAACACACAAAATGTGAATAATTAGATACTACTAAGATTTTTTACTATTGATTCATTAATAATTACATGAGATAAAAATGTGAATATTTCACACTTATCAGCATCTTGAGACCAGTGACAAGACCCTCCTACACCCTTGTTTGGGACATTGTGACACCACATAGTTGTCATTGATAGCACCGGGGTGATGAGAAGCATTGTTTTACAAACTGGTTAAGTCAATTCAAAAAGGCAATTATTTGTTAGAAAATTGGTTAAGTCAACAAGTTTGTACAAGAAGGATGTTTGGACAAAGGAGTTGTCATGGAATGCTTGTCATGCAGTCACAAAACCCTTCCACACCCTTGTTTGGGACATCGAGGTACCACATAACTATCATTGGTAGCACCAGAGTGATGAGGAACATTGTTTTACAAACTAGTTAAGTCAGTTCAAAAATAAAATTATTTATTAACAAATTTGGTTAAGTCAACAAACTTATGCAAGATGCATATTTGGACCAAGGAGTTGTTATGGAGTGTTTGTCATGCAATGACAAAACCCTCCCACACCCTTGTTTGGGACATCAAAGCACCACATAGCTATCATTGGTAGCACCAGGGTGATAAGGAGTACTATTTTACAAATTGGTTAAGTCAATTAAAAAATGTAGTTATTTGTTAAAAAATTTGGTTAAGTTTGCAAGTTTGTGTAAGATGCATGTTTGAACCAATTAGTTGTCATGGAATACTTGTCATGTAGTGCCAGAACCCTCCCACACCCTTGTTTGGGACATTGAGGCGCCACATAGTTGTCATTGGCAACACCAAGGTGATGATGAGCACTATTATACAAACTGGTTAAGTTAGTTCAAAAAGGCAGTTATTTGTTAACAAATTTGGTTAAGTCAACAAGTTTGTCCAAGATGCATGTTTGGACGAAGGAGTTGTCATACATTGCTTGCCATGCAATGATAGAACCCTCCCACACCCTTGTTTGGGACATCTAGGCACCACATAGTTGTCAATGGTAACACCAGGGTAGTGAGGATAATTGTTTTACAAATTGGTTAAGTAAGTTAAAAAAGGTAGTTATTTGTTAACAAATTTAGTTAAGTCAACAAGTCTTTGCAAGATTTATGTTTGGACCAAGGAGTTATCGTGGAATGCTTGCCATGCAGTGATAGGACCCTCCCACACCCTTCTTTGGGACATTGAGGCACCACATAATTGTCATTGGTAGCACTAGGGTGATGAGGAGCACTGTTTTACAAACTGGTTAAGTCAGTTCAAAAAGGTAGTAATTTGTTAAAAAATTTGGTTAAGTCAGCAAGTTTATAGAAGATGCATGTTTTGACCAAGGAGTTGTCATGGAGTGCTTGCCATGCAGTAACAAAACACTCCCACACCCTTGTTTGCGACGTCGAGGTGCCACATAACTGTCAATGGTAACACCAAGGTAATGAGAGCATTGTTTTACAAATTGGTTTAGTAAGTTCAAAAAGACAGTTATTTGTTAATAAATTTGGTTAAGTCAACAAGTTTGCGCAAGAAGGAAGTTTGGACCAACTAGTTATGATGGAATGCATGTCATGCAGTCGCAGAACCCTCCCACACCCTTGTTTGGGACATCAAGGCACCACATAGCTATCATTGGTAGTACTATGGTGATGAAGAGCACTGTTTTACAAACTGGTTAAGTCAATTTAAAAAGGCAGTTATTTGTTAACAAATTTGGTTAAGTCAGCAAGTTTGTGCAAGAAGGATGTTTGGACCAAGGAGTTGTGATGTAATGCATGTCATACAATCACACAACCCTCCCACACCCTTGTTTGGGACATCGAGGCGCAACATAACTGTCATTGGTAGCACCAAAGTGATGAGGAACACTATTTTACAAACTGGTTAAGTCAGTTCAAAAAGGCAGTTATTTGTTAACAAATTTAGTTATGTGACCAAGTCTATGCAAGATACATGTTTGGAGCAAGGAGTTGTCATGGTATGCTTACCATGCAGTCATAAAACCCTCCCACATTCTTGTTTAGGATATTGAGGCACCACATAACTGTCTATCATTGGTAGCACCAGGGTGATAAGGAGCATTGTTTTACAAATCACTGAAGTCATTTCGAAAAGGTAGTTATATGTTAACAAATTTGGTTAAGTCAGCAAGTCTGTGCAAGATGCATGCTTGGAGCAAGGATTTGTCATAGAATGCTTGTCATGCAGTGACAGAACCCTCCCACACCCTTGTTTGGGACATCGAGGTGCGACATAGCTATCATTGGTAGCATCAGGGTGTTAAGGAACACTATTTTACAAACTGGTTAAGTCAGTTCAAAAAGGTAGTTATTTGTTAACAAATTTATTTAAGTGACCAAGTGTTATGCAACATTCGTTTATGTCACGTATCGGTTTTGTTACCGCTTAACGATTTACATTGGAATATCTATGTACATTTTACTGTCGTTAGGCATTGTTTATGTAACGTTGTGCGAATTTTATAATGCTCAACGTATGTTTCCTTTAAGCTCCACTATTATAGCTATAGTATTTTGCTCAGTTGTGGTTTATGTGTCGATTAGTTTTTGTCTCACTTACTTTTTTTACACGTCATAACACATATGTCATAAGTAGAAGTACTCTTTGTCATAGGCTTTATATACTGTGGGAGGATACTTTTGCTAAGTGTTTCCCTTCCACAGATGCTCTACAGGCAATGTTTCGTCTTGCCATATCCCACATACTCTAGATGTTTCGTCTTGCCATATCCCACATACTCTAGACCTCATGTGATGGTTTGAAGTAAGTGTTCAATTATTTCCTTGTCATTCATTGTATATTTAAGTGCATTACTCTCAAGTTTACTTCAGTATTTTCCCATTTTAATGTTTCAGTGAAGTAGTACACTATATGATTGTTTATTGAACATGATACTAGTGTGTGCATGCGTGTAACTCTCAGCTGAGTTAGTTTTAAGCATCACGCAACAACGTTAGGTTAAGTTATAGGAGAGTAATGGAAGAAGATGGAGATAATGTCATTGAAGTTGACAATGTAGTCCCTAAAATTGCAGACAACTATGTCACACTTGATTCTAAACAAACGTCAATAAGTCCTACCGAACCCATGCAAAAAGATGGTGTAGATGATACAGTCCCAAACGTGGGAATGTCGTTCAAAAGTAAGGAAGTTGTCAAGAATTTTTATAGGAAATATGGTATAAAAAGAGGTTTTGGTATCAAAGTAAGAAATTCTAAAAGAGGACCACATCAAGAAAAAAAGTATTTGATTTTGGCATGTGCACGGGAGGGTAGTTTTAACCTAACACATCCTATTGAACTGAAAACAAATCCTTCCAAAAAAATTGTTTTTCAGGCGAAAATTACCGTTGGTTTTAAAGATGGTTTGTGGTAAATAATGAGATTTGTGATGACCATTCTTATTCCCTTAGCCCCTCCAAATCTCGGTTATTTAGTGGAAATAGAAAGTTGAACCTACAGGTGAAAAGAAGACTCTAAATTAATGATAAAGTTTTGGAGTCAGGTTGAATAAGAGCTTTCGATCGCTTGTTTATGTTGTAGGAGGTTATGATAATCTTACATTTGTTGAACGTGATGTCCAAAATTACATTGGTATCCAAAGAAAATATCTTGGAAAAGATGGTGATGGAAAAATATTATTATCATATTTTTGTCGTATAAGAGACTTTAATAAAGACTTTTATTTTGAGATTGATTTGGATGATGACTTTTGTCTTAAGAATGGTTTTTGGGTTGATGCTAAAATTTGGGTAGGTGATGTTGTGTCATTTGACATGACATATTTGACTAACAAATAAGGCATGCCCTTTGCCCCTTTTGTTGGTGTCAATCATCATGGGAAGTCAATATTACTTGGATGTGGCCTTTTATCTACAAAAGACCATGCGTCATTTGTTTGGTTGTTTGAGACATGGATGCAGTGCATATCTTATAGGTGTCCGTAAGGAATTGCGACAAATCAATGCATGGCAATGAAAAATGCAATTGAGGTTGTCTTTCCTGGGACGAATTGTTAGACATATAGAGTGAGATCAAGAAGGGGGTTGAATTGATCTTTTAAAATTTTAAAAACATTTTTTGCAGATTATCAATCAAAGAATCAATCTTTATAAAATTCAATTAACAGAGTATACAAAACAAAGGCAGATGAGAAAGAAAAGATATAATAATACCAGGATTTTTATATTGGTTCACCCAATCCAGTTCTCAACTAATTTCCAGTTGAGTTCCATTAATCAATGTTATCTTGATTACAAAAAATACAATTGAGAGAACTATCTATCTATACCAAGAACTATAACCAAATCTTGAACACGCAACCACTACTTCCAGTTGCACAAGCAATGTCCAACACTTCTAGACACTTCAAGAATAATTGCAAAATTATAGAAAATTAGATTATAAGAAACAAAACAAGGCTACTGCACAAAATTTCAACTCAAAGTTATGAAACTCCAAAGCTAAAGATAAAAAATGCCTCAATCAGGATTTTTCTCAAAGATTTTGAACAAATAAGATGTTCTTTTTACTTAAGAGGATTTCACAAATGATAACTAGAATATATTCTCAAAAGTATATCTAATTTGAAGAATCACATTTGTTTATATAGGATTAATTGGAGAAAAAGTTATTACTTTTCATCGATTAAATCGTTTTTTAATTGATTACAGTAACTGAAAATAGTTAGAACCAAAACCTATTTAAGTTGTTTTAACTTATGTAAATTTGAAACTAATCGATTAAAACATTTTTGAGAATTTTCCAAAGACGATTTAATTTATACAAATTCTAAATGCTTTTACATCTTCTAATAAGTTCTTCTACAAGGTTCATTGAAGATACAAATGAGTCATATGGAACCCAATTGCCCAATTGAATTGTAGAAAAAAATTTGAACGAGCGCCCCTCATCATAGACATAGTCAAATCATGCTTTTATAATGGTTTAGGAGATATGAGTGTTGTGTTGAAGTCTAAGGTAAGCACCAAACGTACTAACCAAGATGCTACAACAAACAATTAATAATATAATCTATCATTAAACCCACATTTTAATAAAAAAATATGTCATAAATAATAAATACTTACTCATTCTCATTATTAGTAAGTCATCTCTTAACACAATAAATGTCTAAAGATTTGCTTCAATCTCCTATTTGTAGAAGGGTCCATATCAACCTCACTTGTTATATTTTTGGGGACATTGATTACATCCTTCAACACTTTAAACTTTTCCTCTAGTATCCCCACCCGTTGTTCTAATTCAGTATTCTTTCGCATCAAAAGCTCTTGTACATTTGCAATTAATCGAAGATTAATTGCATGTTCTTGAAAAGAATGCAAGAAATTTTGTGTTAATATTGAAATTGATTATAAAGAAGTCAATTAAGGAATGAATGTATACATACCTTTTTACGAGTCTTTATACGTCTATGACTAGTCATATACGTGGTTATAACATGTTCACACGATTATCATCACCAATATAACCACACATTTTATGAAACAATCTACATTCAATCAGCTAAAACACTAAAAAGAGGACAACAAATCATACGAAACATATTTCACCACCAGCAGCCACACAGTAAACATTCAAACCATATGACAACAAGACAACATACAAAGTGTTATTGAATGGGCCTCAAGGCTTTCAAAGACGTTCTTTCCCACAACCAACTAATCGATTGTCAAGACACTACAACCAAATGGAAAAGAATATATGCTTTGTTAAACCCACCAAAATAGTCACTATACTTACCCCCACCGTTAAGACACCCATATTGTCGAAATGAAAAAAAGAAAGCATACCAAAGACTATATGTGAAAGGAGACAGAATGGACACAAGCACAGTGAAAACAGGGTGAGTGAAACCGACTGAGAAACAAAATAAAATTAAGCACGTATTGTGAATCAAAATTGAAGGACGAGCGTCAATGAAGAAGCAACGGAAGCTATTGTATCCTAAGAAAGGAAATCCGAACAACATGACACGAGAGACCACTAATGGAGAAGATGGACATGTCTAATTTTTACTTCAATAATTTTTCCTTGTTTTTCATTTATTTTTCCTTTTCAATTCCACTGCTGAAAGTTTAAAAAATTGTCACGTAAGAGGCGTCGGAGGGTTACTTTTTTGGGGTGTACTGTATTAACGTCCAACATTTTTTTATGTGACTGAGCTTTTGGTAGGGTTCCATCGATCAAGTTCAATAATTATAGAAAGAAGAAAGAGATTGAACCATTTGATACCATATTAGTTATGAGATTGTCTAAAAAATTTTATTTTATTGAAATTAAGAGAAATGTCTACAAACAGAGTTTATATAAAACTCTGCATAATAAAAAAGAGACTGTTAATAGAAAAAAACAGTTACAAAACTAACATATAACTGTTACATGAATAAGAAGAAAAATTATCTAAATATATGATATGTAATTAATAATAAATAAAATATTATAATTAAATAATTTTATTATAAAAATATATCATATATATATATATATATATATATATATATATATATATATATTATACAATATGTATATATCATATATAATATGATTTATAATTATTTAATATCTCATAATTAAATAAAAATTACTAATATTAGAAAATTCTATAGTAAATAAATAATAAATCGGTATAAATATTTTTAATTTTTTTAAATCCGCATAAAATCTTAAATTTGTAGAAAAAGTCTCCTGCGGATTTTAATTCTACATAAAAAAGTCTCGTAGGATTTTAAATTTGCAGAAACATTTCTTGTGTATTTAAATTTTGCAGAAAAACTTGTTGCTCTTGCAAATTTTAAAATTCACATGAATTAATTATTCACGAAGGATTTAGCTATGAATTTGAATTTGTATAAAAATTCATAGGAATTTTGTTTTTTTTACCAGTTTATATTAAAAATTAGATGCAAAATCTGCACCTAATATGTTAATAAAATAAGTATAACATAAAGGAAAAGTATGTCAAATATATATTATAATATTAATATTTGAAGTATAAATATGATAAATATTTTTTATAAAATATATTAAATATGAATATTAAATTTAATATCAATAATATTTGTTGAATTTTGTGCCCGTCCTTGAATTAAGATTGTTCTTATTTTAATATGTAATTATTATTTTTAAATAAGTAATAATATATAATGGTTGCATGTTTGGTAATGCTAATAAAAATAATAATAAAATCAAATTTATTGTTAATATAATACATGAAAGTTTATAAAAAAATATTAATAAATTATTCATACAAGTTTTATAAACGAATAATATTAAATAATTATTATTATTTTTTACGGTTAAGTGTGTGGAACTAAGATTTTTTTTTAATTTTAATATTTTTTCATGAATTATAATTATGAATTTTGGGTCAAATAATATATTATTAATAAATAAATATATAAAAATAAAAAAATAAAATTATAAAAATATAAATAAATATATTTAATAATCATTAAATTTAAAAATAAATGCACAGTATAAAATAGTGGGAGACACGATTAATTTTTAATTATGTGTAATTTGATTAAAAGAATAGTTTTAAATTCTTTTCGTTGGATATAAAATTGTTTTTTAATGTCTTAATTATTTTGAATTTGTTTGAATAAATTGTCATATATCTTAATTACTTGTTATAGATAAAATTAATATATAATTATATGGTAGATGTAGAGATGATCGGACGGCACTATAGCCACGCGAGTTGCCTTTGCACTGTAGTCATACGAAAAAGTCTCTGTATTGTAGCCACGTGAACAACCTCTGTATTGTAGTCACGTGGATAACCTTTGTATTGTAGTCCCACTGATAGCCTCTACACTGTGGCCACACGATCAAAAACAGAAAGGCTGAATTTTCTCAAAGCCCATAAAAGTAGTATAAATAGGTGACACGTAAGCATATATGCATTAACTATCATCTAGTTGCTTATTTTTTTTATTTACTTGAATGTTAGATTGTCTTTGGCAGAGACACTAGTTACACCCCATGAACATAATACATCACGTTTCATGTACTTATCCGGAGCACGAAGACAAGAGGTTCTCAATCCTGTAAGAACATTTAACGCCCATATATAGGGTTGAGGGGAGTCACAAAAGAATATGGTGATAACAAGGAACATGACAAACAACAAGAGACCACCAATAAGAAAAAATAATCACATGAATGAAACTTCCTTAATAGTAGAATTGAGAAATGAATTGGAAAACTTTAAAAGGCGAAGTAACTAGTCACCCTAAGGGAGGAAAACGTATGCATAAGCCAAAAGTTAAATGAGCAGGAAGGAACTTCTCGTCATAGAAGAAAACCCGAGAAAGATATCAAAACACTCCATTAGCACAGAGGTTTAGGAAGGGGAAGCCAATAGTAACCTTAGGGTAGCGACTCATGTCCATGCACCATTCATCGCAGCTCTAAGGGGGGGGGGGGTTATGAAGAAGACACCCCCGAGAAAGATATCAGACACTCCATCAGCACAGAGGTTTAGGAAGGGGAAGCCAATAGTAACCTTAGGGTAGCGACTCATGTCCATGCACCATTCATCGCAGCTCTAAGAGGGGGGGGGGTTATGAAGAAGACACCCATTCGTTGCCAGCATCATGAATACACCCCTACCTACTACATGGAAGAACCTTACCATCGAAAGATATGATGGATCGACCGACCTAGATAAGCACATTGACGTGTACGTAACACAAGTTGGCCTATATACCACGGAAGATGTCCTCTTTTGCCAGGTATTTCCCACCTCTCTCATGGGGTCGACCCTAAGATGGTTCACATGCCTTCCCCCTAATAGTATTGACTGATTAACTGGTAGCGAAGTTTGGCACATAGTTTGCAACCACTCGTCCCCATCACCTTACATCCATAGTGCTCATAAATATCTGCTAAGATAAAGGCGAGTCACTAAGGGCCTTCATGGAAAGGTTCGGAAAGGTAGAGCTCAATATATGAAATCTTAACCCAGAAATGGCAATCCATCACATGGTTATAGCCTTGAGGCCAGGGTCATTTTCAAACAATCTCTGCAAAAATTCCATAACAAACCTACACGAGTTGAGAAACCAGGAAACCAAGTTCATGTAAGTAGAAGAGCTAAACGAGTTCTAGAACCAGGTGAGGGTTGAAATCGTAGAAGGAAGGAACATTGGTAGGGAAAAAGAAAAACGTCATCTACCGGTAAGACCAAGAGAGGCCAAGAGACGAGTATCATCGAGAACGAACCAGTAACGGGCAGGGCCGTCAGCTAAGAGAGCCCAACAATGAACAAAGAGGGTGATCAATACAATAGATGTGTTAGACAAATGACATCTAGAGGGGGGTGAATAGATGCACAAATTAAAAATTTATTTTAAGATGTCCAATATTTATTAATTCAATTTTAATTATCAAATTGAACAAAGATAAAGCGGAAATGATATAATAAGAGAGATAAAATATCAACAAGATAGAGATAAAAATAAGGGGTGTAAGGAGAGTAATGCAGTGAAAAAGAGATAAGGGAAATAGAAGAGCACACAGTGATTTATACTAGTTCGAGTATAGTCAACCCTACATTCAGTTCCCAGTCAACTCTTAACACAAGAGTGACCATAATTCACTATCTTTTAAATTCAGTTCACAAATTACAATCAACTCAGCAAAAAACAAACTAATTCAAAAAACAATCACCTCCTTAAAAACTCACTAAGGATGAATACCTCCCTAGAATCTCACTAGGGATGAACACCTCCTCTGAACAAATCAAAGGATGAAAACACCTCCTTAGAATCCCACTAAGGATGAACACCTCCCTAGAATCCCACTGAGGATGAAAAGTTTCCACACATGAAACCCTAAAAAAAATACAACAGAATGACAATGACTACTTAAACCCTAAACAAGGAATTTAACAATCAACCACTTAAGCCCACAAAGGATGAAGGTAATAAAATAAGAATAGTCACACCTGGGTAATGGAGACAACAAATTGTAGAAGCCTGTAGGATGCCAACCTCCAAGAACAAGTGTAATTAACAATGAAAGCACGAGTAGGCAATGGAGACGAGGGTTTTAGTAAAATATCTCTGTGGCAATGGAGAAGAGGGTTTTCTCAAAACATGTAAAATATCTCTGTTGCCTTGCTCAGAATTCTTTTCTCAAAACTGCTTGAATGTAAATTGTATTTTCGAATTCTGTAATTTTTGTGTTTTTGATTTTCCATCAAAACTTAATTAAATAGAAAAATAGCATTACAAAATGGGCGTTGGATATTAATATTTTCGTGGATAAAAATCAGGATATATTAAAAAACATTTATTCTTAAAAACAAATATATTTTTGAATTTTGAACTGCCATAATCGATTATCTCCTCAACATAATCGATTATGTTGGGGTAAAAATCAATTTCTCAATTCTGATGCATTGTGTTAAAAGAGGCGGTCGGAGCAACGCGATGGTTTTGTTTGACTCGCGTTTTTAAAAGTGTAGTTCAACGCCTTTAGGTTGTCCGATAACCGGGTTGAACCTAAGGATGAACTTTTCGAAAGGGTTCGAGGAGTTGCCACTAATGTTTTTACCAAAAACATTGGAAAAGGAAAAAGAAGGCCGTGGTTTTTTAAAGAAAAATCAACTTTGGTCATTACAACCAGAGTTAGGTAAGAGAGTTAGTTACGTGTAGGGAAGGTATTAGCTAGCTTCCCTACGACTCCCATTTCAGGTTCCCTATGATGGACCGTTTTTTATAGAGAAATAAGAACTTTAAACTATGCTTTTACCCTTATTTATTCATTGCAAAAATTAAGTTATCGACTATATGACCCTTAATAACTAATACACAGAGATATTATTCTAAAAGACAATAAAATAGAGAAAGGGGTATGGAAGAACCTTTGAAGCAAGCTTTTATATAATATGTTCTTGAAAATGGTGCTTTTTGGTAAACCCCATGCTCTATAATGATGTTCTCTCTTTTCTCGCAGTACTTTAGAACGCTTTCTAAGAACTCTGGAAATGCTTCAGAGGGGTCCTAGGAGAGTATTTTGAGAATAGTACAATAGGAAAAGTTGATGAATTGTGTGTAAAGAGTGAGAAAGTCCCCCCCTTTTATAGGAATTTGTAACACCCTACCTTATAAACCCT